GAGCATTTAGAAGATCAAGTGGTGGTTTTGGACGCGCTAACCTACGCCGGTAACCTGCCTAGTTTAGATGGCTTGAAGGATAATCCAAATTTTAGGTTTGTCGAGGGTAGTATTGCCGATGAGGCTTTAGTGGAGAAAATTCTTGTTGATAACGATATTGATACTATCGTAAATTTTGCGGCGGAAAGTCATGTAGACCGATCTATTTCTGGACCTGATATTTTTATCGAGACCAATATTGTTGGTACGCACAATTTATTGAAAGCAGCACGTAGAGTGTGGATTGAGAATGCAGCAAGCGCTAAACCTGAGCATCGATTTCATCATGTGTCGACCGATGAGGTGTACGGCGAATTAGAAGACCATGAAGAGGCATTCACTGAAGATCACGTCTATGCACCAAATTCGCCATATTCGGCCAGTAAAGCATCGTCGGATCACCTTGTACGTGCCTATCATCATACTTTTGGTTTGAATGTGACGACCACCAACTGTTCGAATAATTATGGCCCGTATCAATATCCAGAAAAACTCATTCCTTTATTTTTGAGTAATATTTTACGCAATAAGCCATTACCGGTGTATGGCACAGGTAAAAATATTCGTGACTGGTTGTATGTAGATGACCATGCGCGTGGCATTGATATTATCCTAGAAAAAGGCAAAGTGGGTGAGATTTACAATATTGGTGGCAATAACGAATGGACTAATATTGATATTATTATGTTGTTATGCCGCGAAATGGATCGCCTTTTTGCGGAAAATCCAGAGTTGCACACACAATATCCAGATGCTGCTCCGGCAAAGGGTAAAAAGTCCGCAGATTTAATTTCCTACGTTGAAGATAGGGCAGGACACGATTGGCGTTATGCGATTGATGCAACAAAATTGCGTACTGAATTAGGGTATGAACCCAAAGATACTTTTGAGACAGGGATAATTAAAACCATAGAATGGTACTTACAGAAGCAAAAATGGTGGGAACCCTTATTATTGAGTTGATGATAGGAGTAAAAATGCGAGAACTAAGGACTCAGGATTTAACAATATACTTTCGGATATTATTAAATTTTCAGTCCTAAGTCCTAATAGATTATAAAGTTCGGTTTGATGACTTTCTTTTATCTATTTTGAAATCTCTGTAAAGCACTGCGAGTATCATCGCCTACAACGCCGTCGATAGGTCCTTTATAGTAGCCTTTTGCGGTAAGTTTTCTCTGTAGTGCG